GACTCTTAGAGGGAGCTTGGGGGCCAGCAGGGGGGTCCTGCTTCCTGCTGGTGCCTGGCAGCTCCTCAGGGAAAGGGGAAAAGCAGGAGGAGATGGGAAGGCTCTGGGATCAGGAGCTCCTCTGGTCACAGCAGGTGACCAGTGGTGACAGTGCACTCCCAGCTGCAGGGCAGCTCCAGAGTGCAGGTGGGACACTGAGCTTGTGCTGGACCCTGGCCAAGTGGCATCATTAGCATCTCATTTCCATACCTGTTTCCTTTGAAAACAAAACCAAAAAAAAATCAACAATTAATTCAGAGCCCTGAGCTTTGCTTCTGCTCAGAGCATCTCTGTGCTGGGTGAGCAGATCCTGACATGGACACTCTCAGGGGCAGGGGCAGTGCCCAGTGACTCCCTGTGAAGCTCCCAGGAAGCCAAGTGTCAACTGAGTCATTTCTTTGAAAATATTCCAAGTCTTTACACTTGAGGGAAGATGGGATGTGGGAATTAAACAGGGCTACACTTGGGTTGGGAGCACATGGGCATGTTGTTGTATCTCTCTGCTGTGCTAAGCAGCACTTCCCAAATCCAGATTTGGGGATGGTTTGTGCAGCAGGAGGTGACAAGGAGATGGGTGATGAGGGTGCCATGCCTGGACTCAGTTGGGCTCATGTGGTGGTGAGCTGTATCTGCCTCTGGGTTCTCAGCACAGGATGGACCTGGAGCTGCTGGAGCAAATCCAGAGCAGCCCAAAGAGATGCACCAGGGCTGGAGCCAGGCTGGGAGAGCTGGGGGTGCTCACCTGGAGAGGAGAAGCTCCAGGGAGAGCTCAGAGCCCCTCCAGAGCCTGAAGGGGCTCCAGGAGAGCTGGAGAGGGACTGGGGACAAGGGATGGAGGGACAGGACACAGGGAATGGCTCCCACTGCCAGAGGGAAGGGACGGATGGGAGATTGGGAATTGGGAATTGTTCCCTGGGAGAGTGCTGAGGGCCTGGCACAGGTGCCCAGAGCAGCTGTGGCTGCCCCTGGATCCCTGGCAGTGCCCAAGGCCAGGCTGGGCAGGGCTCAGAGCACTCTTGGGACAGTGGCAAGTGTCCCTGCCCAATGGCAGGGGCTGGAACTGGATGAGCTTTTAAGTTCCCTTCCAACCCAAACAATTCCATGACTCTCTGATGAACTCCTACCCTGCGGAGATTTGGATTAAGCAGCATTTTTTGCTGAAACTCTTTATAGTGGAAAGGGAGAAGCTGAGAAGCTCCTGCTTGGCCAACAGGTTGGAGTCAAATCTCCTGCTTTGAAACCAAAGCATCATTTTGTAATTCCATTTTAAACATTCCTGGAAAAATACCCAACTGACATCTTTCAGCCCATTTTCTTGTAGCTGAAAACGCTCAGCCTGCATTTGTAAATCACCCTCTCCCAATCTCCCCATTTTCAGTTATTTTCTGTCAAGTATCTTATCTCCCTTAAAACTTTCTGCAAATTACTTGTTCCTTTGACATTAAGACATAAGCTGTAACGTGGACAGGCCTCTGATCTTCCAAACCCAGTTAAACCCAGTAATCAGACTTTAAGCTGATTTGAAAGTGAGCTGAGCTCTATCTTCAGTACTTTTTTCTTTTTTTTTTATCTGAGATTTAGGGAGAGATGATCCTGCTGTGGAGCAGGGACTGGGCCAGGTAATGCTCTTAAGGTCCTTACACCCATCTTTCCTCTGCTGTGACTGAGTCTGAGCTGTTTGTAGCTGAAATGGAGCCTTGGATGAATAAAAAATGGCTTTAAGTGACAATTCTTCACACTGAACAAATGCAGGGAAGGAAAATACAGGAGACATATGCCTTGTTTCTGCTCTGATTTTCCATGGCCATCAGCTCGTCTTTAAAACACATCAAGAAATAAGAGGAAAAGGAAAAATAAAACATAAAAAGAGCTTCATTTCCAGCAGCAATTACAAAATGAAGCCTGTGCTTAATGGGCATTTGCAGAGGGCACAGACACCACTTTGTGCCTCTGCGTTCTCATTAGGGCTCGTGCAGCTCCCAGCTGACAACCTGATAATTCTCACTGATAAAACAAATCTTTTTGGGTTATTGCTGCCTTCCTGCGCTGTCCCTGCTCGCCCGGCTCTGCCTTGAGAATTGTCAGGATTACAGAGTGAGCTGTGAAAACCCAGTTAGTGGGTGGAAAGTATATATTAAAATAAAACAACAAAACAACAAAGCAAAACACCCACTTTTTCTGCTTTCTGAGTTTTCTCTCTGATCCCACTTTCCCCTGTTATCCTAGGAGTGCTTCTCCTTTATGAATCCAAAAAGAAAAAATACAGAGCTGACTCGTATTCCCTTTGAAATCAAATATTCAAATCTTATCTCACAAGGGTTGTGTCAGAGGCCACCAGGAGTGCCTCCCAGCAGGAAAAATAGGAATTCCCTCTGGAATTAACCTGGCCTGTTGAGCAGGCAGCACCACACCAGGAGCCACCACTGTGATCTTTTGGAGTATCTGGAGTGAAAATCAGAGTTTCTTGGAGATATGTGGGTGCTGGGAGACCTGGGGTATCTGAAATACTCAGGAATAAGGTGCCCAAGGTGCTCCTGGAGATCTGCAAAAATTTCAGCTGGGTTTTTTACCTTTGTGTAATGTAAAACATCTGGAATTTTGAAAGAACAGCTCTGTTTTTGCCTGTGCTCCTTTAGGTGGCTAAGGGCAAGCTGAAGCTATAATAAATTAAATTGAAATATAAGCACTCATGTGGGGGCACACGTTGGTTCAACAGCGTGAGCTGAAAATGATGGAGCTTCGGAGCCTTGCCCTATAGGAAAGGCCCTGCAGCTCATCTGGAAACAAGTTCAGATGCAAGAACTTGTGTCACACTTAACCTTGGTTCTGGATTAATCATCAGTCAATGATTAAATGGAGTCGGTGTAAATTAGGATTGAATTGATTTGGGGTGGATCACATGGAGACTGTCCCGCTCTGACAAATTGGTTTTAAAGAGGAATTTTTCCTCCAGCCCAGTCCCCTTCCAGTGACTGAACAGACACCCAGTGGAGGGCACAGGGTCCGAACTCCTGCCTGATGCAGGGCAAAAATCCCGCCCAAGAAAGCCCCCGGGCCCAAAAAAGGAAACCAAGGAAGGGCAAATCAAGGGGTCCGCCCTTCCCCCAGCACCTCTCTCTCCCAGATCATCTCCTGAATCCAGAATCAGAGCAAGACTAAGTGGGGGCAGAGCAATTGAGGTGCTCTACAACCAACCCACACAAAACACTGTACTCGCAGGAGCCCAGATATCTGCACATTTACCTGAAATGGCCCCACATTTAGGACCTTCCAGCTTCAGACTGTGGATCTGTAGAAGTATTATGGGGTTGTCCCATGCACTCATTATGGAAAGCAAAAAAAAAAAAAAAAAAAACACAGCAGGATTTAACACTTTGAATCCCTGGAACTCTTTGAACCCCTGAAACGTCCAAGGCCAGGTTGGATGGGGCTTGGAGCACTCTGGGATAGTGGAAGGTGTCCCTGCCCATGGCAGGGGGTGCAATAAGATGGTCTTTAAGAGCCCTCCCAACCCAAACCATTCTGGGATTCTCTGATTCTCTGAATAATTTTCAATCATGGCAAAGCTGAGGGAGAGTGAAAATAAAACTTAATGCTGAGTAAACTCTGCTGTGGAAGAGGTTACAGTGACTGGCATGCTTCCCATGGAAAATGAGAAGTGCCATGTCACACCTGAGGTGTGAGACGTCCCACCAAGGCAGGAGGTGACCCAGGGCTGGGATTTGTCATTGCAGCATTGCAGGTAGGGAAGGGTGAGGAAAGAGATTTGCCAGTTTGACAACGCAGCTTTGGAGAAAGGCAGCGCTGAGCCAGAGCTGGGCCTTCCTTCCCCTCCAGATGTGTGGGAAGCTCCCAGCAAACGCCAGGAGGTTACACCTGGGGAGGGAGCAGAACAGCAGCAGTTGGCTGTTTCCCTCCATGTTTTATAGCAGGTTGTTTCCTTGCACATCCTGATTTCAGAGAGCACACGAGGTGGGAGCAAGGCTCAGAAGCAGAGGATCAACATCCTCTTTTATTATGTGTAATATAAAATATTGCTGCTGCTGAACATCCTGCTGCTTCTCTGTCTGTGATCATTGTGGCTGAAACACTACCACCACAATTTGGAATAAAACAGTTACAGGAAATGCTGGTACCTCTTGGTTGGAGCTTTTTTTTTCCCCAGGGGGCAAAAATATTGCAAATATTTGTCTGTCACAAAGTGCTGTGTCCACCTCTGGGAATATGTGGAGCTTCTGGAATGAGTCCAGAGGAGACCACAGAGATGGAGCCAGGCTGGGAGAGCTGGGGGTGCTCACCTGGAGGAGGATCCAGGGAGAGCTCAGAGTCCCCAGTGCCTAAAGGGGCTCCAGGAGAGCTGGAGAGGGACTTGGAACAAAGCAGAATGCCTTCCCACTGCCAGAGGGCAGGGTTGATGGGATATTGGGAAGGAATTCTTCCCTGTGAACGGGATGAGCTTTAAGTTCCCTTCCAATCCATTCTGTCATTCTATGGGGCAAGCACATAATTAAGCAAGCACATAATTAAGAGCTGCAGAGCTCCGTCTCCCATTTGTCCTGTGCCAGGAGCATCCTGGACTGTTGCACCACAAAGAACTGCATGGTCTTGGAGACTGACATTTCCCTCCTCTCAGCCCCTAAATTATCAGGCTAGCCCAGACATCCGAGGCTTTGAGGGGAGGAATATCAGGAGATAGGCAAAGATTTCCAAAAGAGGCTCTTACCCCGATGTAGTTGTTCAGCTCTCTTTATTCCGTGATGTCCATGGGGAGAGCGGGGCAAAGAGAACGAACAGGAAATGTCAGGGGTTTATCCAGACTTTGGGCAGGGAGCACTTCTTGGCAGGAAGGAGGGGTCCAGGGTTATCCGACCAGAGTCCCAGGGGTCTGGGGATGGGGAAAAGGCGAGGGCTGAGCCCGCAGGGGAGCTGACAGTTCTGTTCCTCCCTTGTTCCCGGTGCAGGCCAGGCGTCCTCGTTCACGCAGCAGCCCCAGGACCAGGTGGTGATCGCGGGGCAGCCGGTGACGCTGCTCTGCGCCATCCCCGAGTACAATGGCATCGTGCTCTGGATCAAGGACGGGCTGGCCCTCGGCGTGGGACGGGACCTCTCAAGTAAGTGGGGACAGCGCCTGGGGGAAACTGAAACGCGGATGAAAAATTAAACTTTACAATTCTAATAAAGATTTGGAGGGAATGGCTATGTGTCGCCGTCGAGGCAGGATGGGAATGAGAAGACTCTGACTCAGAAGGCTGTGAGAGTAAAACTCTGATTTATTCAAAATACACTGCTCTTTTATACAGAGCTTCGTGAGCACCAACTCCTGAGAGTAAAATCTGATTTATTCAAAATACACTGCTCTTTTATACAGAGCTTTGTGAGCACCAACTCCATTGGTCCTGAAGTGAAAACAACTCATACCACTGGTGCAGAGTGCTTGACACACAGTGATAGAACTTAACTATAAACAATGTGAATAAATGGAGAGATAGAGAATTATTTACAGTCTTCTCCAGCTCTTTCCCAGGCTTCTGCCTGGCTAGAAATTCTCAGTTTCTGTATTTGACTGAATCTGAGACCCACAGGTTTGTTTATTTATAGTGCTGTGGACACATGTTGGGACTCACTGCCTTTTAATGGCCATGCTTGCTTCAGAGAATTATTTGAGATTTTGAGAATTTGAAATTTGAGAATTTGAGAATTTTGTTACCCTTATTAACTTCTATATGCATAGAATTTCATAACAGGTTAATGCATATTTATTTTGCTGATTTCACATTGCACTTATAGCTAGTTACACTTGTACTCAGTTTTTGTCAGAAAGTATAGAAAGAACTCAGGTAACTCTGCCCTGTCTGTTTTAAGGCCTGAGGATTCTTTCTTATTTCTTATCTTTTAGTGTGGAAATTTGCATTTTTTTTCCTTAGCTGGGGTAGTTTTGCTAGGGCTGTATATTAACTAGACTAAGCAGCATATTTAGCAAGCTTAAAGTGGCACATTTCACTTAAATTTAAATGGATTTCTACCCTGTTAAATTTTCACTCTGTCTCAAAACCTAGGTACTAAAAATTTTAAACTGTACTGGCAAACACTAACCCCTCAAGAAAACACTACATTTAACCTAAAAAGGTTTAAAAAAACTTCCAAAACTAAAAAATAAAATGAAAATTATGAGTGTATAGTTTAAATAAAAGTGTATTTAAATAAAAGTCTATTTATCTGTGTGATAAAAAACTTAGAATTTTAAATTTAAAAATATTACTATATTTTATATATAAAATAAAAAATATATAAATATACATAATTATCATAATATAATATAATGTAATATAATATAATGTAATATAATATAATGTAATGTAATGTAATGTAATTAATATCATATAATATAATATCATATAATATCATATAATATCATAATATAATATAATATAATGTAATATAATATAATGTAATGTAATGTAATGTAATTAATATAATATCATATAATATCATATAATATCATATAATATCATATAATATCATATAATATCATATAATATCATATAATTAATATAATATCATATAATATCATATAATATCATATAGTAAATATATATTATATATAATATTTATAGTGTATAATAAATATATAGATATATAGATATAACAAAATAAAAGTTTTAAAACTAAAACTAATCCTTCATCTTCACCTTCTTCTTGATAAGTTTAAATAGTATCATATAAGTAAATAAAAATTTAAATAGAAATAAAATAAATTATAAAAAATAAATACAAAATAATAATAAATAAAATACATAAATAAAGATAACAATAATAAATATAAATATAAATAAATAAAAATTAAACAAATTGTAAATTTATAATTATAAATTACAAATTTTAATAAAAATAAAATAAAACAAGTAATAAAGAATTAGTTATTAAGTTAAAAATAAAAATAATTTGTTTCATTTCTTAATTAAACTATTTATCCCTAAAAATCTTATAAAAGAGTTTTTAAATAATTAAAGTAAAATACTATAAAACTCATGACTTACAAAACTATGATATAAATAAAAAATAATCAACATCTAAATCCAAACAAAAAATACCATCTCACACATATAATCCCAACCTTAGCAACAAAGAAAAAAGTCCACAAGCAGCCTCCATAAACAAGGAAAGCAGGAGCTCTCCTTGCCCAACGTTTATTTGGGGAATAATATTTTCATTTCAACTTCAATACCTTCAAGTCCAGCCAAATTTTTGGTTTATAAATTTTTATATAAATTTATATATAAAATTTTAATATAAATTTGTATATAAAAATTTGGGGGGTTATTCCTGGTGCTTGGAATAAGCCAAAATCTGTTTCACTGAAACAAAACTGTCGGCTCCCACAGATGTTGCCTGACCCTTTGGAAAGGCCTGGTTTGATTTCCTTGGAAACTAACATCACCTTTCCAAAATGTGGGATGAAATGTTTCATAAATGTTGGAAGTGCCTGTTTTGATACACTCAAAAAAGAAAAGAACCATAGAAAACCCTGAGTTTGAAGGGACCCACAAGCCTCTGCTTGCTTTGGACAATGTCTGTGGCTTCCTCGAGCTTTGGTTTTGGGAAATTATCCTTTGGTGACCAAATTGCTCAGAACTCACATTCCTTAATCCCACACCCACACTGTGATTGAGGGTTAATTGCAGCTGCTGAAGAGGCTGCAGTACTGGGAAAGTTAACACTTTATTCTGCATATTTCCCTGGAAAACACTAATCTGGCACTGAAACATTTCACGTGGATAAGAAGAGTGTTTGCTGGAAACAGCCTGGGAGGACACGGAGCCCTCCAGGGCTCTGCAGAGTTTGTACACGTGTGACACCGCTCAGCTCCTGGTGACCTGAGGGTTTTCCCCAAGGCACTGAGAAACCAGGGGAGGCTCCATGCTTTTTGGTCTCCTGCTTTGGACCCTGCTTTTCCCTGAAGTGCAGTGCCTGTTTTTCTTTCCATCTATTTTTTTTATTAATACGTATAATTGCTCATTTACAGCTGTACCCGAGTAAGCAGCCCCATCTTCGCCTGTTTTTCAAAGCTCTGAGCCACAATTTTTGCATCTATTAGAGAGCTGAGCTTCCCATGCAAGACCTTGCAACACAACTGAGTAAAAGAGCTGCAGTGAAGTAGGGAGCTGATGTGAATGACTTCCACAATTAACAGAGCCGAGGCTGCTGGAAGCCACAGGAGCTGCCAGCTCGCATGATACCAGCTCAGCCAGTGTCTAATTAGCACAATCCAAACAAACCCATCATTTGTACTTCTCGCGGTTCAGGAGAGCAAATCCTGCTGTTGATAACTCGAGGAACAACAGAAGCACAAATGTGTGCCAGCGCTGCGTTACACAGGGCACTGGGCACAGGAGGACACGGGGGTGGCACCTTTCCTCCCGTGTGTCCAGCCAGGCTGACCAGGGCTGCTGGTGCCCCCAGACCCTGCCCGAGCTTTACACAGAGCTAATCGTGGTTGTGTTCCAGGGTGTCACCTCAGCCCTCTTCAGGAGCTGAGGATGACCCATGACAGCTTGCAGAGGAGCAGGAGGTGGTGGGTTTCCTGGTGGAAGGTCTCACCCCTTTTTATCACTCAGGGAGGTTGTGAATGCCCCAGCCCTGGAAGGGTTCAAAGCCAGGTTGGAGAAGGCCTTGAACAACCTGATCTGAGTGGAAAGTGTCCCTACCCATGGCAGGGGGACTTGGGTCCCAGTGATCTTTAAGGTCAAAACCAAACCTTCCAACACTTAACATTCTATGATCCCATGACTCCTTGGGATTTCAGTTAATGCTCCTTCATCAGCACTTCTTTTTTGAACCTGTAGAGCAAAACATGCAGTCTCTTTCCTGGATTTGGCAGGTTCTTTCTCTCTCTCTTTGGGCTGGCTGCCAAGGAGGGGAGGAAGTTGCCTGGATCCTGGGAATTGCGGTGGGATGCTGGGGCTCTGGACTTATGCTCTGCTTTCCTCAGTCCTGGGCTCGTGGCTCCAGCTTGTTGCAGCATATGTTGCAGTTAAAACAGCCACAATACACAGAGTATCATCACACCATTTCAGAAAGCTTCAACCCATAGAGAGTAACACCCCATCACTTCAGAAGGCTTCAAGCATCTGCCCTTCTCGTTCTTTAACCCAGCCTTTTGCACCCCTTGTGTTCATGCCTCACACCTGTGTGCCCCCTGTTCCCTGTGTGGTTCTCAGCACACCTGGGCACTCCAGGGCTCACTGCTGCCAGTGCTGCTCACTGCTTCTCCCAGTGCACCCACTGGGATGAGGCTGGGCCACAGCCCCACCCCAATCACTGGTGTGGGGAGTCCAATCACTGGTTTGTGTAGGCACAAACTGTGCCCACACCAGCTTCCCCCTGACCCGTGCTTTACCTCTGGCAGGTTACCCACGCTATCTGGTCGTAGGAGACCATCTGTCAGGTCAGCACCACCTGAAAATCCTGCGGGCTGACCTCCAGGATGACGCCGTGTACGAGTGCCAGGCCATCCAAGCCGCCATCCGATCCAGACCTGCCCGGCTGACTGTCCTCGGTGAGTCCCGGTCTCACTCACACCTCAGCGTATTCCTTGGGTTTCAGTGCCTTCATGGTCACACTGAGTAGCAAAACAAAATGTTTTGCTGCTGGATCAAGAGGGCTGGGAATGAATCCATGGTGAGAGCAGTGGGGGAGCAGCTTAATTCTGAGAACAGGATCAAAGGAAGCTGCTCGGGGAATGAAGCAGCTCTGGGGTGGAGTATGACAGTTCTAGGAGTAACACAGCCACCAAGTGTTTGGCACTTCAGCTTTATGGATTTATGCCCCAATTCAAGAGAGTCTGTCCATAAATTTAAGGATATGAAGAGTGCCAGTGTCATCACTTATGTGTTACCCTGCCTACAGGACCGGGACAACTCCACCCTCTGAGGAAAGACTGGTTTCATATTATGCAGTATTTTTAAACTACATACACAACTAATATTTTATCACCCTGCATTTCTCAATAATTAATCTTTCCCATGAGCAGCACAGGGATTGCCTGGGATTGCAAACTGGAAGTGGCTCCCAAAATCATGTAGAGGACCTTTTTTTTGTGGGAGGTGGGTGGAGAGCACTGGCAGAGCTGGAGGGCTTTGTTGGCCATCTGGCAGAGCAGGGGCTCTCCCCACAGGAGTGCTGGGAAAAGGCAGACACGTCAGCGAGGCTTCCCGGCATGGACGTGGCTTCAGAGAATTTAATGAAAATGGTATTTTTCATGAACAGCTTGGACAAAACCCAGTCTGTATTGCTACTCCCAGATTCATCCTGATTATTCAACCCTCAAAGTGAAACCATTTGCATATTTAAGTTTGTTTAAATTGAAGATTGGATTTCCTTTTTCCTTGTTGTTTTTATTCCTGGTTAGTTAGAGAAAAAACCCACATTTTAAAAATATCCAAATCATGATTTTCTGTGCTTTTAGTCAGATCAACACTGATTAGTTTTAAGCAGCCAAAATAAGTGAATTAAGGTACCAGCTGTGGTTGAAGATGCACCTCACTAGAGTCTGCACTACAAAAATTAGTTCAAATTCCTGGTTTGCAATTTCCCCTGCATTTGTTTTCCTCCCTCCACAACCCCACAACATTCCCTACTCCCAAACTTTCACAGCTGCCATCCCTTCCTTCCCTGACCCTGACGATAATGATGATTTTCCTTTGATTCCTCCTTCTTCTCAATCAACCCTTGGCAGCAGCTCAGAGCTCTGACACGTAGCCATACATGAAATAATCCTGGAAATGAATAGGAGAGGGGAACGTTGTCTTGCTCACCGACAACCCCTCCTTCTCCTGGGCTCCCTCCTTCTGTTGTGAAAGCAGAATACATTGCGGGAGCCAGACAAAAGAAATAATGTTATTTAATTAGAGCTAAAGATTTCAAAACTAATTTAGTCCCAGGGCGTACGTCAGAGCTGCTGCGAAGCGTTGATTGAGCAGAGAGATGTTTTTATGGATCAAAAGGAAATCGTTATTATCTTTGGGGTTATGGAATGTGTTGAATAGATGGTAGTTAATGTTTATGTGGATATACATGGTAGTTGCTAATTGGTACATTTACCTAAGATGTTCAGCAGCTTATATTTGCAGACTGTTTTCCTTTTAAGAAAATTAAAGTTACAGTGTGTTCAATTTATGCCAAATCGATGAGCCGGTGTGGGTTTGGAACTAACTGGTAGCTCATCTTTAACTTTAGAGGTATTTATTCAGATGTTCTGAGGGGAGGAAAGTGGCCACAGCCCCGAGGCTGCCAGAGCTCCAGAAAAATTTGCACAACGCCCTCAGGGATGCACAGGGTGGGATTGTTGGGGTGTCTGTGCAGGGCCTGGGGTTGGACTGGATGATCCTTCCAGCTCAGGAAATTGTGTGATTCTATGACTTTTCAGGCTGGTTGGAGAGGTAGGAGTGAGGATCCTGCCTTTGCAGGGGGTTGGTGACCAGCAGCTCCTTTGGGATGGGGTGCCCTGTGCTGGCAGCGAGGGCAGGGGCTGCTGTGGGATCTGTGCTCTGTGTTTTAGCCACACAGTTCTGTCCTCTGAGGGGACAGAAGTGGCACCTGAAGAGTAGAAGCCTCAAGCCCCCGTGTTTCTGACAGCTGGGGACAATGTGCAGCCTGTCAGGCTGAACTCACTGCATGACAGGGGGGTAACACATGTCGGTGAAGGGGGAGAGACGTTTCTGGTGCTTCCAGATGTGCAGCACCACCAGCTGTGCAGGCATGTCTGCTCTTAGCAGGCAGTGTGTGAGCCTGCTGTAGGTGTGAGCTAAGCAGCTGTGTCTAGAGGGAACTGGATCTCCCAGATTTCACCTCCCTGGCTTGGGAAGAGATGTGCCAAGCTGTCTGAGCCTCTCACAGGAAGATTCCTTCATCCCAGTCTGCCCAGCTTCACTGAGGCTGCAGACTTCCCCCGGCCAGGAGAGGATCCCTGAGGCATCCCTGGAGCTGGGTGCAAACCATGCAGCTGGTTTCTCAGTGACTCAAAGGCTCTTCAGCCTTTGGGTGTTAGAGGCAGTTCTGGGGAACTCTATCCCACTCTATCACCCCCAGCTTTGTCTCTGGAAAAATAACCCTGCCTGGTTTTTTTGTATGGGTTGGTGCTGCCCTGTCTGTCCTTGCCAGATTTTCCACTTCCTTGGTATCAAGAAATATTCCAATGCCTCCAGATTCAGGCTCCAACTGCTGTCATTCATGTCTGACAACAGCTTTATGGGGCTGATGCCTCCTACTTCCCTGCTCAGATGCAGAGCTACACCATAGTTTTAATTAAATATTTAAGGTTTTGTCACATTGTTTTCAAATCTACATGGTTAAATGTAGTGGAACGGATCATTCCGTAGCCTTGGAAGTCCAAACACTCAAACAGATGAGCCTATTACTGTCATCAGCATCAGGGAAAATCTTTTCTTTGTGGAGTTCCAGGGACAAATATTGCTCGGAAATGTTGTTAATCCATCCCAAAGCAGGAGGGTTCCCCTTCTCCAGATCTCCCTCACCTTCCCTCCTACCATTGCCCAAACTCTCTGAGGCAGAAATCACTGCCCAATCGCCTCAGGATATCTGCCCCAAGCAGGGAAGGTTGATAAATCTGATGGGATGAGATTTAGGACATATGGAGGCATCCAGATTTTCTGCAAGCAAAGGATGTCAAGGTAGTTTGGCAGGGCAGCCCAAGCCAGGCAGGCTCTGGGAAGCCACTGGAGGGCTATTTGCTACCTGGTACATCTCTAATGGCAGGGCTGCTTAATTTATGATCTATTTAACTAAGCCAGGGTATTAATTAAATAAAGTAAGAGCCTGATTAGGACTTGGAGAAATTTAAAAATAAAATCAGGCAGCAATCGAGCGAAATTGCAAAGCAAACACTTTGGCTGTAACCACTGGAGAGTTCCCTCCAGTCTTCCATCAAAGCTCAGAGCAGGGAGGGCAAATACAAGAGATTATATTGCCAGCAGATGTGTGTTGTTAAAATATGCATCTGCCAGCCGTGTAGCTTCAGGAGCCAGAGGGCTCGCTCGTGGATCCTTCTGCACTCGCGGGACCGTGAAGGAATTTGAGGCCCCGGCAGCCGAGGTGGGATTTGCAGACACGTTAATTAGCATTGAGTTCCCAGGTCTCGGAGGCAGCCAAGCGAGGAGGAACTTTGAAGAGAGCTTTGGTTTCCCTGGGAGGGAGAGGGGAACCCTGGCTCACGGTGCCAATGTGGCCGTGACACAGTGACACCTGGACCTGCGGTGACACCTTGGTTTGTGGTGACCCTTGGCCTGAGGTGACACCTTGGCCTGTGGTGACCCTTGGCCTGTGGTGACACCTTGGTTTGTGGTGACTCCCTGGCCTGTGGTGACCCTTGGTTTGTGGTGACCCTTGGCCTGAGGTGACACCTTGGCCTGTGGTGACACTTGGCCTGTGGTGACCCTTGGCCTGTGGTGACCCTTGGTTTGTGGTGACCCTTGGCCTGAGGTGAGACCTGGGCCTGTGGTGACCCTTGGTTTGTGGTGACCCTTGGCCTGTGGTGACACCTCTGCCTGTGGTGACTCTTGGTTTGTGGTGACCCTTGGCCTGAGGTGACACCCTGGCCTGTGGTTGCAGCAATGTATCTGAACCACTTAGGCCACACTGTGCACCAGCCAAGCCACTTGTAGTTATTCTTACCAGAGCCCTCTGGAATTCGTGAAGGTTACTAAGACATAAACTGTGCTAAATTAAGAAAGAAGAAGCTGAGAAACAGAATTTCAAGCACAAGAGAACTAGATGAATGAGGGTGGTGAAGCACCTGGATTGTAAACAATCACATACTCAGAAATACGTGCAAAACACGTGGACAAGCTAGAGGCACCAACCAAGAGATGTCGGGGGCTATGTACAAGTCACAAACAGGATGGGACTGCTGTGGAACAAGTCTTGAGCTGTTTATTTTTTAGCATCAGTCTCATTACTTGCCTATGACGATGGGAAGATGCCAGCAGCTCAAATCCCAGGCAACAGACCAAGAACTTAATGTTGCAACTTACTTTATAAACTTTTTGACCAATCACACAAATCAAAAACATATTGACAGTAGTTCTATCCAATCACTATAAATACAGTAGCTTTGGTTAAAACAATGCTTGCTTATTTTGAATACAATACTTGCTTGTAAGCCTCAAGATACAATGCACAGAGCTCCATTATTAAGCTTAGAACTTCCTAATATCTCACCAGATACACTTTTCTGCAACTTAGGGAGTTATTCTACCCAAGCGTTAATACACAGACCATTGTTCTATTTATCCTGACTTTCTAATTCTTGTATAATTTTTCTGCTGACAACTCTTATAGCTACTGCTTAGCTCTAATCACCATCCTGCTGTCTCTGAGGCCTGCCTTTTGCAGCGTGCCCAAAACCCTCCAACTTTAAGGAATCCCACATATGTTCAGTAGGGTTAGAATGTATAAATAAGAGCATAATGTAAACACCAAAGGGTTTCTGTTTAATCATATTGGTTAGTTGTCCAGGAGTTCTGATTCCCAGTGACACCA